GCTACCTTTTTTTGAATGATTTTAAGCCCAAAAAATCGAGAGTAGCTTATTTTCAGGTTATACAGGTTTTTAAAAATTTATTCCCAATAGTACATATATAAACTTGCATATTAAGATTCAAACCGGTTTTGTACACATACATCTGACATATACAATCCATTACTATAGCAATCCTGTGATCGATAAATCAAAATCGATTACATGATCATATAACTTTATTAAAAAAATTTTTTTAAAAAAAACTACATTATACAACAAATACATAAAAAACAAATCATATACAAATAAGTCAAACCCACCCACTTCAAATAACTACAACAAATAAACCTAACAAATTTTACACTGTGACAAAGACTTCATCATCAAGTTGACAACTCTAACGACAAAGACCCCAATACCAAAGATGATGACTTCAATGATGAAGATTCTGATATTACAGATGATGACTCCAACAATGAAGCACCAAAGAGACAACTCCACCAATCCTCTAGAATTGATTCCATGTTCAATTGAATCCTAAACAAACCAAAGAAGAAAAAGAATATTTAGCAAATGCAAGAATGAAGTTAAAAAAAAATACTTATCTGAAATAAAAAATCTCAAAAATAATAGCTCTAAAAAATATTAAGAAACAAGAAAAGAATAAGTAAAAAAAAATAGAAAACAAAAAAAAACTAAAAAAGAAAAAAGACAAAAGCTAAAAACTATTAATCACAACTTACCTGCTGCTGAGTCACCAGCCAATTCATTGTTTGAACCAAAGATATGAAGAACAAGATTAAACCTAAAAGAATAAGATAGTTCAAACAAATAAATAAATAAAAAAAAACAACGAAAGAAAAAAAATATCACTACCTATTTGCTTTTAAAACTATGAACTATCTGCTGTTACATTACCAACCCACCCACTGTTGAATCACAAACCTACCTGCTATTTAAATTAGAAACACCAAGACCAACTAAATTAAATCTAGAAAAAAAAAATAGCATCTTAATATAACCAAAAAAAAAAAACAAAAGAAACTAAAATAAAAAAAAGAGTGAAAACAAAAGAAAGAACAAAAAGAAAAAGATGAGAAAAAAAGTAGAATAAAAGGAAAAAACAAATAAAAAGAAAAAGAACAAATAAAAAGAAAAGAATGGATGAAGAATGGGAAAAAAAGGAAATTTAGAAGAACAAAAAAAAGAATACAAGACAAAGAGAAGAATGAAAAAAAAGGTAAGAACTAAAAAAAAAGAAAAACTAGAAAAAAAATATTAACCAATAAAAAAAAGAAAAATGAGAATAACAAAAGACAAAGAGAAAAACGAAAAAAAGATAAGAACAAAAAAAAAAAGAAAAAAAACTAAAAAAAATAAAAAATAAAATACAAAAGAAAATGAGAAGAAAAAAAATGGAAATAACAAAGATAAAGAGAAGATCGAAAGAAAAAGATAAGAACGAAAAAAGAAAAACCTAGAAGAAAAGTAAAAACAAAAAAAAAAGAATAAAAGAAAATGTGAAAAAATAAGATAAAAGGAAGAACAAAAAAAAAGATAAAAGAAAAAAGAAAAACAAAAAAAAGGGAAGAATGAAAGAACACCAAAAAAAAAAGTACTATGAAAGTGATACAAGTAAAAGATGAAAAAAGAAGAAAATACAAAAAAGGGAAAGACAAATGAAAAACAAAAAAAGAGAAGTGAAAAAATAAAAAAGCGAATGAAAAAAAAGTAATAAAAAAAAAAATCAAATATTAATTTTAATAAAAACAAATTAAAAAATTAAAAATATACCTGATCCTAAAGTTGAGTGAAATATCATCAATTTTTAATTTTCTTTTATTTTTTCAATTTTTTTTTAAATTTTTTAACTCTTTTTTTTGGATTTCTTTTTTAGCGTTTCTTTTTTATTTTTTAATTTATTATAATTTAAATTGGTATATAATTTATTTTTTTAATTTTTTATTTGTTTTTATTTTACTTTATTAATTTATTTATTTGATTTTTGAATTTTAGTATGTATGTTCATTAAGAGAATCAAGTTAGTGTGAAAAGAAGATACTGATATACAATAGTAAATATGTATACATGTACGTATATAAATCCTCAGTTAGGAAATAATAGCATAATAGCATAATAGTAAAAAAAACAAGTTTCTAAGTAATACTTGTTATTTTCTTACCAGGAAAATAATAAGCATTACTAGAAACTTGTTTATTTACTAATATATTATATAGATTTGAGAGGTAGCTTATTTTAGAATAAAAAAATTACTATTGTTTTTAGCTTGGTAGCTTATTTTTGGATATTAGAGGTTTTTAGATTTTTTGCTCAAAACCAAGGGTAGCTTATTTTTGGAGTAGCTTATTTTCAAAAATATATAGTAATACAAATCTGTCTGACTAAACAGAATTTCTCAGAATTATACTAGTTAAATAATTAATCGATTAGTTGCTTAAAATTTTTTCAAATCGACTAGTTGGAAAGTTAGCAACTAGTTGATTTTTTAACTAATGATTTGGAATACTAGATTATAATATCAATGTAGATGAAAATTTAAATAAAGAGCTTGTGCTTATATTAAATTAAACTGAAAATTGTTCATACAGGCATTTAAGCAGATCTGTTTAGAGAAGTCTACAAATAATTGGTTACAAGTTAAAACTATGATAGAATAGAGCCATTTGGTACAAATAGAAGAGAATATTCAAGCTATAGAATAGTGAAAATGGAAACAAGCAACTTGAAAACCAGAGAATAGTAAAAAGCTATATCTTATATATTTATCTTATTCTAAAAAGTCAAGGATAGCAGAAAATATAACAATCAATAAGGATGTGAATAAAGAAGAGTAAGTAAAGAATAGCAAGATTGCATATATTAGAAATAGTTATAAACTTTTATATCTCAAAAATTTGAAATTTTATTAACAAGTTCTATATAATTAATTCATATCAATAATTTTTGCTATAATCTCTTTTCAAAATTCTGAAAGAGTTTTGTAAAAGTATTTAAATATATTAATAAGTTTGAAAAATAAATAAATTAAAACAAATAAAGTAACTATAAATCTTTCAAAGCTTCGTTAATTTAGTAAATTATTTATGAATCCTTGTTTATTATCAGTATCTTTGATTTTGACAAAAATTTTTGATGCTAAATTTGATAATCAGGATTATAAATTGGCTTCTATATAGAGCATCTACCTGATTGATAAAAATTATTTAGCTGTGGCTGTGGCAATGATGATCAATTATATTACTAGCATTTTGGAGAGCTACTCTAGTTGTCTCAGATAATTTTATAAATAAGATTAAAGAAATAATAAATAATAGAGACTACTATTCAGATGAAAGATTTAAAACCAATAATGAATAATTGCAATCAGAATATTGATTAAAAGTTTGTCCTAAATCTAAAGAAAAAAACAACTATCATATGCTTCATATTTACAATAAGTTGTAGAAATTCAGAAAGGTAAATAATTGTTATAATTATAATTATTGTAATTGTAAATTATATTAATTTATAATTCTTTATTTTATATAAATCAGGTTAAAAAAAATTTGCAGTTAGCTAATCAAGTTAGCGAAAAAATTTAGAATATAAAATGTATCAGAAAATAGTAATATAATAATAAAAGATAGTTCAATAAATCTAAATTACTGCCAAATACTCGCAAAGATCACCTCTAAACTATTTTAGCTTTTTATATTTCTAAAAAAGAGAATAAAAAAAAAGATAACAAAGAAGATAATAATGATGATTATATAGACAAATTAGAAGCAGATAATAATACTATCACAAGTAATAGTAGAACTACTAAAGATAATAATATGTCAAATAAAAGAGCTAAAGAAAGTATCACTATTTCTAGCAATGAAAATAAAACTTATTGATATAAGATATTCACTCAAATTAGCAATAATGCAATTTTATTAGAACTATTAAACTTTTTTTTTTTTTTCAGTGTTAAGGTAACTTCTTGGTTGTGTTCCTTTATTCGATTATAGTTATAATTTTTACAGTATGATTTTTATATACCGTATACATATTTGAAGAGTACAACTAGTTACACATACAACTTTTGGTTACCTATTTTAAGTAGTCTGCTTATTACTAAGTTCTACACTAGATATCATACCTATAACCCAACTAGGGGTTATCTATTTAAACCCTCTGTGTCTATGTGATTACACTAATAACCGAGCAAGAATCTATTCAGAAACCCTTAGTTTCGAATACCAACTTAGGACTTTAAGGCAGGCTTTTTGCCTCCAAAAGCTCTTTATCTTCAGAGATAAATCTGCCAGAGCCTTCTGTACTCACAATCTGGCTAATCTAGTCTTTGGTTAATATGCACAGGCCGAGGCCCGCTACTTACACCCTAGTTTCCATATTGTGTACTATAGCCTGATTGCTGCTAAACAACATACTTCTGCCCTTATAGAGTTTATTTAAACCCCAGTACACACATTACAGACCATCTACAGTATTCCCAACTATTTCAAACTACTAATCCAAATAGCTTGGAAGGGCTGTGACCTGCTTCTGGTCCTCACGGTTAGGTTTTTTTCTCCGGTTACTACTCTGGTGGCCTGGTTGGTGGAGTGCCTTGCCAAACACTTTGGTCCTGTTTAGTTTTACCAGTCTATTAAACTTATAGTATATTGTATTTGCAAGCTAGATAATTATATTTTTATATATATTATTATATTAAATATAGCGATATATTTATATATATTATAAATAATACTATACAAATAACCAAATTTTATTATCTATTTCTATAAATATTTTTAGTATGATATTTAATAAAATATATTTCACTAGTTGTATAACATAAATAATATAAAATAAATAAGTTAATAGCCTTATTGAAATACTAATAAGTCTTAAAAAAAAGCTGATAGATAAATGATAATTTGTCAACTAGTTTTAAACAGATTAGTTTATCAAAAGTAATATTAAAAATAGGCAATTTCTATTTGTACACGGATGTTGCAAACACGTATAATCAATATTTCAAGATTTCATTTATGAAACTACCTTTGGGGCTCTAACAAATAAAATTTCTTGCTAAATTTTGCATATATTTAATGCCTAGATAAAATCCTAGACCTTGCCCTAACCCTAATTATAATTAGGTTTTGTTTTTTATAAAAATTATTTTAATTTCGATTTATATAAATTAAAAATTAATACCCGTGTACAAACTCTAGGGCAGTGTTGTACATTTTTGATGTCTGAGCCTTTTGGAGTATCTAGCGAACTGTCTGACTTTTTATTAGACTTATAAATCTACTCTAAAAATATATACATATATGCAAAAAATAATTCTGAACAACTTTAATTAATAATTGAAGGTGTGTTAAAATATATTATTCAAAGTTATTTACTGTCAAACTCTGACAAACTCTGTCTGAGTACTGTCCGAGTTGTTTGAATAACAACACTGCCCTAGAGTAAACTAAGAAATTTTCTTAAAAATATTGATAAATATATTAATTTTGTCTTATCTATTTTCAATAGTT